AAGAGGATCATGGGCCCTGTGAATTTGCTCCAGGGCTTTGACAAGAGCTCAGCCTGCATAAGAGCAGTGTAAGGCCAGTCTGCGGTTGCCTTCAATGGACCTACAAACCTCAGGGACAGCCACCTGCACCCCAGCTGTCCCGGCTTCACTTGGGTGGGAGGAGAGCACTTGTACCGAGTCAGGCATCGTGGCCTCGACGTGGTCCTTTGTACAGTTAGCCTATTGCCCAGATTGCGTTACATGTCAAGACTTCACACATAAATACACTGACTTGCGATCAACTGCAGAATGGTTCTCAAAGACATTTTCTCGTGATGCCATTCCTGACCTGAAGGATCCTCTGACAGCACGCTTGACAGCACTAGCTGCCTGCCTGAGGCCGAGGCAAAGACCAGGTTAGAGCAGCGGAGGGGCGAAAGCGGTGGCACGCACCTCCCCTCCCGCGTGGCCACCTAGGGACACGCCCAGGGCCAGCGGGAGAGGTTATCCAGGAGAGCACGGATCTGTGTGAAACTGCTCAGATGAAAGCAATTTTTTTTTTAAAGATTTATTTATTTATTCATACAGAACCGGGGTACAGGCCAGAGATGCGGAGGGTGAGAGGCTTCACCAGAGACAGAGTGGGGAGCAGAACAGGCAGATGGATGAAGTACACTGCTGAGGGGAGCAGCGGGCGGGTCAGGAGAGGTCTGCCGCACCATGTGGATCTCCTCCGGGGCAGACGGGGATCGAACTCATGTAGAAGTGGCTTTAGGCTTCTTAGTGCAGCGCTTTAACCCCCTGCGCCACCAGGGAGGGCCCTGAAAGCAATTTTTACTGTGTTAAACCAAAGATTCAGGGCAATGTGTTCAAGGTGGTCCGTGTCCCCACTCATGGCTTCGTGAGGATCGACGTCTGTGTCCCACAGAAGAATGCTTCTGTTGTTAGCTGTAAGAAGCGGAATCAAAATGTGTTTTCCACTTGTCTCAGATCATTACAATTTTTAAAGGGCTGAAAGGAGGCTAAAGCGAAACTACTGCAGCACCCCCGAGCCGCCTGGTCCCGAGGTCCCTACCCCCAGTGCCGCTGCCTTCCACAGGCAGGGAGCATGGTCAGCCACAGGGCAGCGCCCATGCAGCTGGGTGTGGCCACCGGATCTGTTCTTTCGGCTGAACATGAGCAGGAGAAGGGTGTCTCTGGCCACTGGTCTTAGAGTGGCTGCTTCCTCCTCTCACCCCCGCTGGAGCGGCAGCCAGTGGGGGACTGTGGGCTCCGCAGGGTCACCATCAGCCTGAACATGTGACACTGCGCCACGAGCAAGGAACACATTCTGTCTTGTAAAAGCTGCGTTATTTGGGGGCTTCTGTTGCATTTTCACTGTAATACACACAAACTGCTACCAGAAGGGAAGACATGCTAACAAAAATCTACTTTCTTAGTGGCGAGGCAGGCATGCCCTTGGAGAGACAGGATGGAGTGCATGTGCTTTTCTTCTGTGAAGGGGTGACGGGGTAAGCGAGGCTTCACTCACTAGCAACACGTTGTTCTGTAAAATCCTGGCCTGTGGTCCTGGATGCACAACACATGTCCAGCTACTGGGCACAGAACTGAAGATGAAGGTGTTTGGTTACCTCACTGCCTCTTGTTGCTCTTATCTAGGAAGGAGGACTGGCTGTGCTGCCAGCAGAAACGAAGGAAATGAGGATGTCTGAAAGTCGCAGGGTTGAAAAAGACAAGAGGCTGTGTGCCTCAGAAAGGGACCATGCCTATGGCAAGGATCAGGGAGGGGTGTTGCCTCCCCCAAAAGCTGCTTCCGCACTCGCCCCAAGGTGTTCCCATGAAGATGAAAGAGCGAGCGGGACCCACGGAAGTGAAGAGAAGAGGCAGCCGAAGAATGCGTCCTAGAGAAGGCGTTGGTCGTGGTTATCTGCAAAGGAGCTGATTGGAAGCAATTAGATTGAAGCCTATTAGCGCGTTAAGGAAATCGTGTAGCCACAGAAACCACAAATCTCTTTGAAGCAACACTGAGGCCTTGAGATTCGTGTTGACGGAGGAGAGCTGTGCGTGATGTGTGACCTTCCAGTCTGAGGTGGCCATTCAGGATGAGTGGGCAGGAAGCAGAGGGGTCCCCACTGGCCCCCAACACTGCTCCTACTGCCTTCGCGGCATGGCCTCGGGTCTGGCTGTGGGGTGTCATAATGTGTGCGTTCTGCATCCTTGCCTTTCTCCTTTTCAAATCAAGTTTTACGGATTTGCCATTTGTCCACAGCTATACAATTTCTGAGCACAGCTTCACACCTCAGCGGAGCACGGATTTCCATCACCTGCCCCCAGGCCAGGTCCTCTCCCATCCCTCCTACCCCGCCATCCTCCCCGCCTCTCTGGCAACCACCGTATTTCACAGTCCACACTTGTTTTCACTGTGTTTTGCTAGTTTGTCGACTTTGCTCGTTCTGTTACACAAATGAGTGAGCCCATCCGCCAGCCGTCCCTTTGACTCAGGTGGCTTAGCGCCATCGCGTCAAGGCCCACCCACGCCGCCACACAGCGAGGTTTCATCTTCTACCACAGCTTTGTCACAGGTCTGTGTAGCCCTGAGCACCCCAGTTGTGTGTCGATGGACATTTAGGTTGACCACCGTGACTGCTGCCGCTGTGACTGATGCTGCCGTGGAAGTGCACAATTCAGTGTTTTGCATGCACCCACGCAGTGTACAACGCCACAATTACCCTGACATTTTCACCCCTGCCCCCCAAGGAATCCCAGGCCATTTGCCGACACATTCTGTGGCCATAGTCTGCTGTCTGTCTACACAGACCCGCCCTCACCGTCGCGTTTCAGGAGTCATCCACTGGCGTGTCAGTGCATTGTTCCTATCTACGGTGAAAGAACATCCTTCCCGTAGTTTAGCCCCCAGAGAGGGGGACCATTGGCTGGGCATGTATGGGCAGCCTTCGCTTGTCTTTTTTTATTTATGTATACACGAGCTGTGGTGTAGGCCAGAGGTGGAAGGGTGGAGGGGGCAGTTTGAGAGATGCACCAGAGACAGAGTGGGGAGCAGAACAGGCAGATCTGAAATCCACTGCTGACAGGAACAGCAGGGAGACAGGAGAGGTCTGTCGCGCCATGTGGGTCACTCCCTGGTGGGGATCGAACTTGTGCTGCAGAGGCTGTGGACAGCTTCACAGTGCTGAGATTTAACCCTTGTGCCACCAGGCAGAGGCCCCCCCTTCTCTTGGCGTAATGGGAGTTTTCAAAGGGTAATTCTGTGCCCCTTGGGATGGAGGAGCCACAGCTGGCTTAATGGCTGCATGACTTTGTGAGAAATCTCTCCTTTCTGCCCGTACTCCCCCCGCCTCCCACTCTGGCTCTGCTCATCTCAAGTCCCACTGAGTCACCCCACCATTCTGCATCACCTTATCCTTCCTTTCCCGCCCCTCATACCTTCTAACTTCCCTCCTCCACTCACTGTCTTGCTCCCCTTGCAATGCATCATCGATGACCTTGCCTTGTTCCTGGCTGAAGGACTAGCGGACTAGCCTCTAGAAACAAACCAGTGTAAGTAAGCCAGTGTATTGTAGGTCCACAGTAAGCCTTGGCTGGGCAAAAGGCTGTTTCTGATGCTGAAGTCCTTGCCGTTGTGCTTGGCTCTGCTTTGTTGTGCATGGGTCCCCTGCTGTGGGTAGTGAGAGATGACTCCTGTGTGAAGACAGCTGGGTGACCACTTGCTAAGGGCATCGTTGCCTGGGATGAGACTGGACAGCCCTGGAAAAGTACAGACACTGCAGAAAGAGAGCTGCTGGGGTCTGGTTCTTCTTGTTTGCATGAGTGGGGCAGCGAGCTGCCTTCCACGGGGAGCCATAACTCTGTGTAGGCATGGTCACTGGTGGTCACAAGGGCAGCATAGACCAGCTAGACCTTGGGTCTTTTTAGAGTTTGCTCACTCCATGATTCAACTCCATAATATAACATGATATAAATAGCCCCAGTCTACTCCAGGGAGAAGCTAAAGGTCATCAGGGAAAATTCAGTTCAAGCCAACACAACTGATGTCAGACTTGCTGAACTCCAGCCTCATGTGAGCCTTCGTGCTGGGCCCAGGGGATCCAGCTGCGAGTGCCCAGCTCTCCTTAGGGTTAGGTTACAGTCTGCAAGCTACAAGCAGCAGGAACAGCGCCATGCGTGAAGGGTCACTCCAGGACAGCGCGTGTTGTGGATGCACACGCAGCTGGAGCGTCTGCACAGCCCACACTCAGAAAGGCTTCCCAGGGTTGGTGTCAGTTGAGCTTGGCCCCGAAAGGTCATGGCCACAGGAAGAAGGACCCAGTGTCTTCTCCAAAGCAAAGGCGTGGATCAAAGTCACAGCGGCACACCCCGGGCAGTCCACTTTCCCTCACCCTGTGCAGCCCCATTTAGTTCTCCGTGCCTTGTCCTGCTTCCCCACTGCCTGCAGTGAGCCTGCAGGTTAGCCCCTACTCCTGTCGCTCTGGGCCAGGCCAGGGGCCAGTGAACAGAGAAGTGGTCAGGATAGCACTGGAGCCTGGAACCGGGCCTACATTACACTTACAAAAATTTGATTTTGTGCAGGAAAAATATTTCGACTCCTACATTTTTGGACTTCATTAGAAAGATCTGAAATGGATGACACCAAGCTGTCTGCCTAAAATAATGTCCCAACCTCAACTGGCATGGATATTTCCTGAGATTAAAATAGAAACATGTTTTGCTAACAGAAAACAACTTGGAAATCAAAGAGCCGTAGAAGTTGAACTCACTATTTTTTCCTCTTCTTGTAGAAAACTCTTGTTTTTAGACACCAAGAGACTGGCATCATGAGGTCACCGTGCCACAGAACCTTCCCGTAAAAGTGTGAAGTTGAAGAAACCTGAAAAAGAAAATATGGACAAAAGTATTCTATTGTTACACACTCAAAAGACAGCTCTGAGCGACCTGCACATGTGCCAGGCATTGCTGACAAGCAGAACTCTGCCAGCTACATGCAAGTATGTATGTATGCGCATATGAACACATGCGAGTGGGCAAGCACATGCAGCAGACGCAAGCAGTTGACGTAAGTGAGCAACCAAGGCGTAAGGCAAGGGCGTGTGCACCGGAAGGTGAGTGGTGTGGACAGGACAGAAGCAGCAGGCAGCAGGTGGCCACGTTACACAGGGCGGCCAGGCTTGTCGCAAAGAAGTGACATGGGAGCGGAGGACACAGGCCAGAGGAGAGCCAGGCTGCACCTGGCCGCAGGCTGCAGTGACAGTCAGGCAGCAGCGCGCAGGGCGTGCCGGAGCCTTCCAGACTGGCAGGGAGGCCACAGACGAGGGGAAGCAGGGGGACAGACAGAGTGAGGTGGGAGAGCAGGCAGATGACTGCGCCGCGGCTTATTCTGGGGGGATTTGAAAAGTGGGGCGACTCAGTTGGGCTTTGGTTTTAGTATGACTTTTGGCACAGTTGGTAATGAGGTCTTGGAAGCCCTTACACTTCACTGTACAGTCAGTTCACGCTACAGCAGAAGGGAAGCTTGGTTCCTGCGTCTCTCACCGATCTGCAACATCAGTCTGCTGTGAATAGCAGCCCCCCCTTAGGCGGCTCAGGCCTTTGGGGGCCTCCATCAGTGACCTCTGATGTGCGGGGAGTGGAGTGCTGGCCGAGGTAGCTGGGGTCTCTGCCTTTCTTCTTCCCAACTGTGCTGCGGAGCCAAACATTTTCTTTCGGTTGGTTACAAAGTGAAAAACACGCCTTTGCCAACTCTGCGGGAGAAGCAGACTCCCGGAGTTTGTCTTTGCTAATTTATCCAAGTCGTGACTGTGGTTTCCCTAGTGCAGACTCCTCTCAAGCCCAGAAACCCCTTGCCTTTGGGGTGTCTCCACCCAGTAGCCAAAGCCCCACTCGCTGCCGCCACCCCCCCTTGCCACCTGTTGGGGCGGAACCCCCGAGCTCCCTCCTCCACCGCTCACCTACCCTGCACGCAGCACCCCGCTTTC